TACCATAGCTCGCGTTATTCGCCTCTCTTCCCAGTAACAAGCTCAAGCCAGAGCACTTACTGAAGTGGGATAGCTGAGGAGCAGAATTTCCTCCCATGTCGGCCGGCTCATACTGCATAAGCGACTATGTGCAAAATCCTGGTCAGTGCGGGAGAAGAGTCGCTTAGGTAAATAAAGACTGCGTTTCCTTCAAAATTTAGGAGGAATTGGGCGTCTTCTCTCGAATTATACAAGGAGTCCGAACAAAGTCCGTGCTGAAATGCGGCCTTCCGTGAGCAAAACCACCGTGTGGTGAGTAAGCCAGCAGAGCAATAACATCTTCAGCGGATTGATGAAGAGCGTTCCAAGATTATTTGAGCGCTACAAGATCGCACGTCTCCATTTCTCCGTGGAAAAGGGCTCAACTTAATGAACGAAGGTGTGGCTGTTAAGACCCTTCGCGATCTTGGACTCTACCTCCTTGTTTCATGCTACAGGTGATCTGAGATCGACGTGAAAAGTTTATTCTAGGTGGATCTGATAGAAAAAGAGGGTACAGGAGGATCCGTGAAAATCGCAGATGGTTTTAATGTAACGTAATTTCGGCGGAGAATCCCTTATGGTTTGAGGCACCTTTGAACGACTGAGCGGCTAGAGCTCGCTTTTGTTTCCTTTCACAAAGATTCCATAGGGTATCGTGAAGTTCTTTTGAAGCGAGTTTACCATTTTTCGACAACAATCCCCTCTATCCTTGATTTTCACACACGATAACGCGGCTGTCCATGCCGGTCCTTCCACGCCAGATGGAATTGCAGGAAAAAATGTGGCAGTTATCTGGTGGCCACCATGTTATCTGAATCAGATTCCAATAGAGAATCATTGGGCCTTAATTGTTATAAAGTTCCACAGCAAAGTAAAGCAAAATGGAACAGCCGAAGAGCTGAAAACGTCGATCATCGGCGCCAGACAAATTTCGATCCTACTGTAATAGCTAATTTGGTTACCAGCATTCCAAAACGTATTATTGTGTTCCTTATGATTATTGGGAGGACCATCCCATTATTGAAAATTCGTGACGTTTTTTCGTTATAGTAAAATCTCTCGACAAGTGATGTGTAGTCATATTTGCGAAACGGTGAAAATACGTTCTAAGGAAGATATTTTAATAATTCTGAATCGAGATTTCTCCAGAAATCAAGTATCAAGGTTTTTCGTTATGGGGAAACTATTGGTAATAGCGGCATTTTCCAAAAATGCACAGCAACTTTGGAATAGCAAAAATTTAGGGTGGACCTATAATTATGAAACGCAGTGTATTGGACCAACTCAAACTTGTTTGCCTCTGTAAAACCTTCAAACATAATATCAATATATCACGTATATATTGTCCGGCTTCACTAAGAAAAGCTATTTCAGGCCTGACGAAGGTGCTAGGCACCGAAATATCGCAATAATTTTGGAAAGCTTTTGAGATTAAGTTCTTTTGAAGCTTTTTGAAATAAATTTTTTGGAGCCTCGAACTGTTGTTCAACATTCAATGTTGGATACAGTTTATCCACGCTTCCTTTTCCTAGTGTGTCGGCCACCATGTCAAATCCGTACGCTGGCTTAGTAAAATTGCGAGAGAGTATGGGGCCGGTTGCAGCAAGCCCCGGAAGAGGGACGGGATGAATTTCGACAGCGGGGATGCATCACAACCGGGGCATATCC